AACGAGGTCGACTTCCGACAAAACACTTATTGTATCGATTTAGAACGCAGTACTTACCTATACAAATATGAGTGAAATAGACGCAGGAATTATTAATGTGTCATTGGTTTTGATTAAATCTTTTTAATACAGTTGCTCAAAAAGTGGCGTATTGCAGGGACGTATAGCGTTCGGGATGTGGGCTATTACACACTCGTGCTTTTTACCTTTTCCGAACTAGTGCGTTTTCTTTCCCAACTGTCAAAATAATGTCTATTAAAAAGAAAAAACCAACCACGAAGTTTTTACAAAAAAAAAATCATAGAAATTTTTATGATTCATGCAAATATTTCTACAAAGAAGCTACTGCTTTGTTTCAATATAAGATTTAATGATTTGATTCAATGAGTTAGGTTAGATTTCATTTCATCTCATTAAATTTCATTTCAAATCAATAAAAAATTGTACTGAAGACTTGGCTGTATGGGCATAGTTCCCTTTGCCTACCCAGAATAGGTGAAGAAAAAAAAAATATCTGCTTATATTCTTTTACGGTGGGCGCCATTTTCAAAAATGTTCTTTGCGCGTTTAGTTGTTTGTTATATTATACATTAAATATACAAGAATAATCATACGAAATAAATAATAGTTTGTCTCAAACAGTAAATAAATATGCAACCTAAAACTTCTCAAAAAAAACTGTACCAATGTATATGTGAACAATAATTTGTATAAGAAATAAATGATTAGTGAGTTGAGTTTATTGTTTTTTTATTATTTTATTAAATTGCATAATTTTTTCGCACGTGCGGAACCGTCATTGCAACTTGTTCCGACTGTCAACCCGGCTGCGCCTCGGCTCGGGTAGACATTTGTCGAAACTCTTTGCAATGACAGGCTTTCCGCACTTGTAATGAAATATACTATTAATTAGTCGCTCCGTGAAGCCTGCGAAGTGCCCCGGAAACTTCTGAACTTCTGGAAGGAGCTAGGTTGGTTTAAATATCCAGGACTTCACGCACAACGGACCTTACGGCGTCTAACGCCCGAACCCAATAATTAATCCACAATCTCAGATTAAAAACAATTTGAGTTCAGACCGTGACAGTCGATCGATCTCCTATCTGCATCGCAATAACCAAACCCTACGAAAACAATCCATTTTTGATGGATAATTAATAAAAATAATTAACTATTGAAATCGAGTATTCGTCAACTGACATTTTCATACAAAGGTCTATGAACAGACACCTATACGACCTCCCATGGATAGCTTGTATCGACAGATGGCTATTACAATCCGTCGATTGGTTATTGGCACACTGATCGACTACTAGATACAAAGTTATTTCAATATTCAATATATAATAATCACAAAACTGAAACATCAAATTTATGGCAAAGTAAAACATAATCGAAACGTTAACGTGTTTACATTTTTTGCTAATCAAACAAATTTGCAAGGCAATTAATACAATTGAATTTTTAAATCAATTGAGTAAAAAGAAAAGTATAATTGACTTAATTGCTATAAACATATTTACAGCAATTAGTAAAAGTAATTAAATGAAAGTCGTTGAAATCAAAAGGAAAGGTTTCCAGTATACTTTCATAAAAAAAATATTCCAACTAAAACGTTCCATAGACAAACAATTTCTGTAAATAGAACAAAAAATGTCGTACTTTGATCCTATCCCTCAATAACATAATCTATATTTTTTATGAGTGAAGTTTCAACTTCGAAATAAATATATCTTTGCGTTTTGTATTTTATCTAATTCGCTCTATTTCCTGTAATATATTTAGATATATTTAATTTAAGCTTACAGTTCAGGGCCTAATCCATGCGCGAACCATAAAACATAACATTGTATTGTTCGTTGTTCGAAGTGTCTAATCTGTCAAATCTATACAAAGAAATAGATTTTATAAAGACAAGGAAAAAATTCCGAAAAAAGGGTTGCCGGAAATAACTGTACCATACAGCCAGATGGTATTACTGAATTATAATAAGTTAATCGCCAGGTCACTAGCATTAATCTTAAAGTTTTATGAAATATGGCCAAACTGTCACGTTCCAAAATCACTAATTTAAATACCATATAGCTCAGTTAATAAACATACACGTTGCCTTATTATTTTTGCGGCAACCGGTCTGATTTAAATATTAAAATCGAGTATGGTTCCTCACGAATTTTCGACTTTCTAACTCGTAATTCGTGACCGATCGATGCCAAAATAAGTTTCGTTTGTACACGTTGATTTCACATGTTTCATGAGTTCGCTAATAAGCAAAGGATGCTAATTAAAACAGCTATATTTAATTTAAAATACACTTCATTGATATTATATGGTCAGGATACTTTAAGCATCGACTAAATAATAAATAAATCAGTGGCACTACAACCTTTTTGGGTCTGGGCCTCAGATTTCTGTATTTCATGATCATTTGTCAATCTAATAGGCAAGTGGGTGCCTAACACACGCCGTCGACTTTTTGGGTCTAAGCATGTCGGTTTCCTCACGATGTTTTTCTTCATCGTTCCAGCGAATTTGACTAGCGCACGTAGAAGAAAAGTCAATTGGTGCACAGCCGGGGATCGAACTTACGACCTCAGTGATGAGAGTCGCACGCTGAAGCCACTATGCCAACACTGCTGCACTGCCAAGCATCGACTAAAGCCTAACTAATAAAAAATACGCAAGTTTGCAAGTGCTGAAAACAAGTTATTGCTTTTTATTAAATTAAGAATAAATTTATAATAAAACGTATCTTGCAAATGCGGTGAAAAGCTTTCGTGGCTTAGATTGCTAATTAAACTAGTCATTTAAAACCTGATTTACCAGCCTCGGAAGTACATATTGTAAAAACTCATCATTAATAATTGTACTGCTTTAGCGTGTGCGCAAATAGAATTTGCATGGTAATTTCAATCTTGACGCATGTGAATAAATAAAGTCATATTTTTTACACGCGTTGAATAATTTAAATTAGCTTTATTATTTGCAAATGCATGTTTAATATCAGCGTTAGATTGATTTGGATGTCTGATTAACGTGCAATTTTAGTTTTCATATTTGTAGTATCTTGTTACATCTTATTTATAAAGAGACTAATAAAATGTTACTGCCGACCAATAATTAAAAAAAACTTAGAAATAATACACTTCATACATACTACATTATATAGAAGTAATAAATTACAGTTTACCTTGCCTAAAGGTCGTGAGGTAACTAGAGGTGCAGAGACAAAAACTAAACCCCTATTTTAGTATCGCTTGTTTATAACGATTTATGTATAAAAGCTCCAGTTATATACCAAGATATATTCATTATAACTAGCTTAACCCATTAATCATATTATGTCTAGAGTATATTGTCAAAAATGTACGTAAGAATCTAGCCGATGTATTTTCCGGGATATATATTTAATTAAGCTAAAAAGTGTCACAGCGTTAATGAGACGCGTGTGTTCAAACCGCAAAGGTAATGTGTTAATTATTAAAACTCATACTCACCACTCAGAATTCAGGATGCCGAAAGATAGGAAAATATTCCTTCTGTCGGCCAAATGTTGTGGTCGGCGGTTTTGTACTTCCCACCTAATTTGCTAAAAAAGCTAACACAATAGTCCACATCAGTGCAAATATTGCAATGTTAACGTGCGCAAAGTGCGCTGCGCGTGCTACGTGTGAATTGATGCGCGTGTAATATATCGCGTGCCTAACATATCGTGTTACATATTATGGCTATGGTATTTCACGAAAGTTTGAAGATAACCCATAACGGTGAGCGTAGTAAAATGTTCCGTGATTTGTTACGCAGGTGTAGAATTAATTGGTACGAAAAGACGAATGCTTAATTGTATTCATTAATTTGATTTAATGCGATAAGAAGGCTTTAGGTTCGGTGTATGACGATTAATTTTCATATAAATTAAGAATTTCTCACACTACTCTTCTGTAATTGAAATTGATGGAAATTTTGGATTTTGAATATATTCGGAATTCTTTTGGGCACAGTTACAATGTTAACAACATATAAGAATTCAATCTAAAGGTACACATATTACAGCTGATCTCTGAAGTATGGAAAAGATTTCAACCGTTTTTAACAATCAACCGAAGACGCATTATTATACGTATATATCAAAACTTATATCATTTAATCAATACTGCTATGAATGCATTAATTACTAAACAACATAGGTAACTGTTTACAACCTTTTTTCCTATTGTGCAGGGTAAAGTCATAAAAATCTGTTAATTAAAAACATTTAGTCGTACAAAAATATATCGATTTACTTATTAAGTTACAACAATAAAATAAAACTATTGAAGTGGGTATTTAAATCAATCGATTTGGTAAACATACTGTTCTCTCGTGTATTATAAGGAATTGGATTATTTTTTTAATTCATATAATATTTTTATTTAACAAGCTAGAGCATTTCTATAGTTTGTTATCCGAAATCCGAACACATTTATATATTCATAGATGAAGATTGTACAAGAACATAACTGAAATATTGAAGCGCCATCTTGTTTTACACGTAGTAAACAGTAATAATATAATACGCACATAGTATTTCTTTTGAGACTCACTAGGTGGCAGTTTAACAAAAGAATTCAATACAAATATTAATGAGGTAATGTATAGATGGCGCGCGATCTCGTTAAAAAGTGCCGTACATAGAAATCTTTTATGCTAGTCAATATTTCTTTAACTATAGTAACTAACAGTTTAAGTGTATTTTTACAATGGCTTAAAATTATTTCGTCAACAACTAGGCGAAGGCAAGAACTCGTTCATGCGGAAAGCATAATTATTTCGATAGGCACAAAAACTGGTCACTTGCAAACAAATAAATCCTTAATCAAACATACCTTAGGGACTTAGGAAGCTTTGGAAGCTTCAGCGATGATCGCCTATAAATACGGCATGAGGGGATGTCAAGTTTAAAAATGGATATAATTAAAACAAATGTGTATATAATTAAAATGTAATTTATTATAGAAATCTTAGCAAACTAATCTATAAGATATATATCTTCCAGCTGTTTCTGATGATCGGATGATTTTCACTACCTGAAACATTGAAATATTCTTTATATGTATGTTTTTGTTTGTGTTAACTATATAAGTACCAACTATATTTAAAAAAATATATACCTGTCCTCTTTTAAGTCCGAAATATCTGGCCACTGGGTCTCCAGCTTGTATTCGCATCAACATGTTTTCTTTTAATTTACTGTATTCTGAATTAAGGAAAATTGAAATAGCATGAATCTAAAGCTTTTACCTAAGATTATGTCCTGAAATTATTAAATGCAACATTTTTTTTTACCCATGTAATTCATACTCAAGTTATTGTATAAATATTTCTAATTAAGAAAGATAAATATAACTTGTTTGTGTTGTTTTGTTATTAGCTGTATGAATTTAAATATGTATTTTAACTGACATAAAGTCAAAGTTGTATTCGATTTACATAACCTTTACACATTTGCTTTGTGCTTTACAGCGTGCGTGGTCACGGTGACGTCGGATAAATTTAAAATTATGTTAAATAGTTGTAAATTTATAATAATACATAACTTCAATCCGGTTAAACAGTTTTTTCTATAAAGTCAAAGTTGTATATAAAAAGGATACTATCTAGCTAAGAGTTCTTGCTTCTCATCAGGTGTAAGTACAATGTGTTCAGGAACTAACTCATGTTCTGTGATATTAATCAGTAATTCTGATTCTAAGAACTGCTCCAATATGTACTTTGGTGCCATATCCACAAGTGATTGTTTTGCTGAGGGTGTCATACCTGAAAATTCATAATAATATACTGTGACCATATTTCAGGGAAAACTACGGTGAAAACAGTTAAGCGGCCAAAGGTTATCTTTGAAGAGCAACATAACCTAAAACTCACTACCCATTAATGAGAATATTGGACTTAACAATATTCAAGAAGAAAATACGAAGTGAATTATTGTAACAAAGTCTTATTGATTACTATTATTGTAACAACAATGAAGCAAATATAATTTATTATTTTTCTCATTCCTGGCTTTGTGGTTTGGATGATGTCCAAGAAACCATAACTATGCAAAGTAATAAATCAAACTTGCTAATAGAAGATTTCAACAGTTGTTGTAAGGATGCATATATCTAATTTACAAAAATATACAAGCCTGAATAAAACATTACCTGCTTGTACAACAACAATAGCTCGATGAATATTTTCTTCTTGCATTCTTGTACAATAAGTTTTTATAGTTTTAATACCAATTTTTGCTTCATCGGGAAAGAAAACAAACATCTGGTCAGTGGGGTCATCATTGTGAGCTACTAGAACTATTAAATCACTTCTAGCTGGCCTTTTCTCACTGAAAAATGTTAACATTTACATTTACATTATTATTTGTACAGTAAACCAGACCACCCAGAAGATGAACCTTTGGCTTTTCTAGTTTAAATACATGAAATATACAAATATTGTTTCATGTACCTAACAAAAGCTATTGCATATTTATTACCAAACTCAAACTAAAAAAAGGAATTACAATATTACTTTTCAAGTTACTATAATAGAATCTTTACAACTTTTTTCAATTAAAACTATTTTTTAAATGTCAAATTTGTTGTTGTCAGTTTGTAATGTCATTTGAAATTTCAGTTAAATTAAAATAATACAAAATAAAATGCAAGTATTGGAAGAAAAAGTGCGGAAGAATATTTTAGAAAGAACTGTTTCAGAAACAACTAGACTTCATATAGGTAAGGTCACTCTTACTTCTAAATTGAATTTGTTATCCTGCCTCTTGAAAATCTAGTAATAGTCATTAACATGCATTTTAATGACCATAAGTATTCATCATTTATTAATAATAATTTAAGACATTTACATACACTAAAAACATAAATACTAACCTATATAAGGTATTATACAGACCTTATATTTTCATTTACTTCACCAGGGTAAGCAATTCATGAAAGGCTTGAATAACATAAATATCATACCTTGGTTTATCTCCAAATTGTTCTTTAAATTGATCTAAAGTTTGATCCAATTCATCTTGGGTCACGAGATATCCACGGTCATGACAAAGCTGTGGAACCCAATAGTCCTATTATTTATCTAAAACAATTTAAGAATGTCCACTTGCACCTATTATCTAATCATTCTCTAATTCTTGTGTATATAGAAAACTTTAATATACTTTAAAACGGTACCGGATTGTACTTAACCTATATACTTAGTAGATACCTGCATAACGGTTTTTCGGATTCTCCACAACTTATAAGTCTCTGCATCATCGTCCATATTCTTGCTTTAAGTAAGATTTTTGTGAAATTTATTATTTGAAGAGTTAATAGTACTAATTTAAGATAATATACAAATCACTGTTCAATCAACAACACTGATCAAGTTGATCAACACTCCAGTCTCACTCGACTCTCGAGAAACAGCACACTTGACACTGCACATAACATACTATCACAGACTAGGAAGTATTGAGGAAACTTGACCGCAGGCAAAAAATCCAAGTCCTGACAGAAATAGAGTTCAAAGTTCAAGCGACAACCATATTTTGTACGGTTCTCAAAAAACATCATCATAAAATATAACATTACATATTTTACGATCCTTGAATCGAATAATTTATATATTGTTCGATATTTGAGGATATATAAAAAGACATGAACATAAACTGAGTTTTTTTAATGTCTGAACATAATAAAGTTCATTTGACTATTGACAATAGTCATAGACAATGGACATAACTTATAAGTTGCGACTTGCGATGCAAAATTGAAATAGAAATCTTGAATGTTTTAATTTTATGAGTAGTTGTGCTTTTCATGAAAGAAGTCCCGCGGATATTTTTGGAACTAAATTTGACAGGTCGGCAATGTTGTCATTCGTCGATGTTATCAAGTTCGTTTGTTGTGGTAGATTTTTGTGAATTTTTAACTATCTTAGTGCATTTTAAATATTGATTACAATGCCAAAAGTTGTAAAAAGTTCGGCTCGAGAATTGATATTAAAGGTGAAAGAGTTCTGTGAAGCGGAACAAAAGAATAAAGGTGTTTTAATACCACTAAACAATGTTCGGAAGAGAGTTGCCGCCATAACAGGTACTTTTTAGAGTTGCCATTTAATAATTTTTTGCTGTATTGATGGGAGTTTTATGATAATATAAATTCGTTTTTACGACAAAATTGAACAAATACATAACGTGATGAAACTAGGTAACTGAAATTAAAACATATATTACATAAGCATTATAAACTTAAAGTTACTATTATTTTTAATTGTTCATAATTTAATTGCAGGTGTGTCAGAGAAAACTGTATCAAGAATTACAAACGAAGGTGTAACAGCGGCGTGTACTTCAAAAAAAAATTGTAACCCCCGGGGAAGAGTCGCCCGCATCCGAAAAAGTTCGACTTAGACGGGTTCGATTTGTGCGCTATCCGGCAAAAAATTTACAGTTTTTACGTCGTACATAAAGAATTACCAACATTGGTTAAATTACGGGCAGCTCTGCGAGAGGACATCAATTATCAGGGAAGCATCACAACATTGCACAGGATATTAAATAGAATTGGTTTCAAGTACAAGCGATGTCAATCCAGACGAAAACTACTTATGGAACGCCACGACATTACCGCATGGCGTGCAAGATATTTGAATAAAATACGAATAAATCGCACTGTGGAAAAACGACCAGTTGTATACTTAGATGAGACCTATATACACAATACTTATCATACAAAACGTTGTTGGCAGAGTGAGGAGGAGCCAGGAATGTTCGTCTCAGAATCATCAGGGAGTCGCTGGATAATCGCTCATGCGGGAACAAAAGATGGATTCATAAATGGTGCATTATTAATGTTCAAATCCCAATCAAAGTCCTCAGATTACCACGATGACATGAACTCAGCAAATTTCTTAAAATGGGTGACGGAAAAACTAATACCTAATCTACCTGAAAGGTCGCTTGTGGTAATGGATAACGCTCCTTACCATTGCACTCAATTAAACAAAGCCCCTTCTATGTCAAATATAAAAAGTAGTATGCAAGAGTGGCTCCGGCAAAAGGGTATATATTTTGAAGACACCTGGACAAAAGTTGTGCTGTATGAGCTAATCAAACAAAATAAAGGTCCACCGATATTTGCAGTGGATGAATTATTAACAGCTCACGGACACGAAGTATTAAGGTTGCCGCCTTACCATTGTGACCTCAACCCGATTGAGAATATCTGGAGCCTTGTAAAAAGAAAGGTGGCGGATAAGAACGTGGCACAAGATCCAAAAGAAATATTAAAATTAACTAAAGAGGCCTTTGAGTCTATTACGGCTGAAGATTGGACAGCTCAGTGCTCGCATGTCGAACATTTAGAGGAGGAATATTTAAAAAATGACGGCCTTATGGATGAAGTGATGGACCGAATAATTATATCAACTGCTAGTGATACTGAAACAGAATCTGATTCTGTTTCAATACACTCTTCGGACAGTGATGTCCCTATGGCCGTTGATCACAATTATGCAATAAAACTCTGAATAAACAATTGTATTGCTTTTCTTTACCCTATTTTCTTATCTTTTCCCTGTAAGTAGGTAGAACACCGCAATATAAGTAAATAAAAATATACTTTTTACATAACAGATATATTGTTTCATCGAAGTACGCAGAAAATAGTATTATTTGATAAATTACATCTGCTAAATGTAAATAAAATAGGTAAATTTTTTACTCATAAATGGCAACATTACGTCATGCGATTGCAGCGCCGCGTCTGGGGGACTTCTTTCGTGAAAAGGACTATAGTTGTGAATTGTGATCATATTTTTTAATTTGTTAATAACTTCTAATAGTCAGTGTTTGTAGTAGAATCACAAATAACTTAAAATATCTAAGAAGAAGGCTAATCCATTTATAATGGCTGGAATCAAAGGTATTGTACAAGCAAATCACCCATCGTTCATTTTTTAATGAGTCACTAATTTATTTACAAACAGTAAGAATTTTGTTATAAATCTAATCTAATCTTGTTATTGTTTTTTTGTTCCATGTCAATTATAATGGATATATTAAAGGGTAAGTAAAAATATTTCTGATGGTATCTTTTTATTGTCAATTTGCCTCTTTAAAACTGTTTCCTAATTGAAACTCAATTTAACAGATATTACCAGAACATGGTCGTGTATATAACAATCTATGATTTCATTTAAGCAGTATTTGTATCATTCTTTAATTATAATTAGTTTGTTACAATGTGATATATTTTCTTGTTTCCTATAATATAGTAATACACCAGATTTTTATAAATAGAAGTTAAGACTTTAGTAACATATTCATCGCAATTCATGAAGCCGTGACTTTAGATTAAGGTTATTTAATATTTTTTTATAAGTTTTGGTCATGCACTTCTTGCACTTTATCCATCATATTTCTTTTTTTAGTTTTTCCCTTACTAGAAAAGAGTACTAGCGTTGCCTGGAAGATATCGCGTGTTGCATACCTTATAATTTTTATGTATTACTCTATTTGTTTTGTATAAATATAAATTAATAACTACATATTATTTCAGACTAGTGTCTTTAGCATTTGCTGGATCAATTGGAATGACATTTGTCATATTAGCATGTGCCTTACCACAGTACAAGTGAGTATTATATTTTTTAAAAATGGTGTAGTATTTTTCATTGTTTTACTTTATGCTTGAAGTTTCATTGATAAATTTAAATAGGGATCTTAAAGGTTTCTATTTTATGTATTCAAAGCCAAAGAAATTGGTTTTGTAGTGAATTGAACTCATCACTGAGGTTAATTGTGGTACATACCAACTAAACTTTTCTGATGTTCATGATTTTCGTATGAAATGTTATATTCCCTAATATTTTAACCTTATTTTGTTATATGTCAAAGAAGGCAATTTTTATACATTATTTCAGATTATGGTGGCCATTCTTTGTTGTGTTGTTTTACATCCTTTCCCCAATACCAACTATGATAGCCCGCCGTAGTGGTGACAGTGCAGGAGGCAACAACTCACCTTGCATGGAAGCTGCTGTTTTTATCACAATGGGAATTCTAGTCAGCTCCTTTGCTCTGCCCATTGTATTAGCTCGAGCAGGAGTGGTAAGTGTATTTTCACTACAACTGTTAGAAGTATGGTTATTTAATTACTATAACTGCCACTAAGTTTTGCTCTAATGTTTACTTTGGTTTTCAAAAAATCTAACACTTCAAAATTGTTGATCAGATGTTGATTCATTACTATAGGGTGATCAACTGATTTAGTTTTGCTGCATAATAAATATAGCATTTTGATGGAACAAATATAGTAGAGAAAAATGGAAATAATTGCAATTTGCTATTGCCTTGTAAAGAAACAGATATTAATATAAGGATTTAAAAAATAATCCAATTGTCTCATACCATAAGCATTCTCTGTCTTTAAAATATCAAAAAAGAAGTTAGTATACATTATATCTAGTTACATGATTGTACAAATGTTAATAACTAATGTTCATCTATTTTGATATACAATCAGATATTTTGCTTTATATTTCTGGAATGATTACTTTCAGATCTTATGGGGAGCGTGTTACCTAACTCTAGCTGGCAATGTAATAGTATTTCTCACTATTCTCGGTTTCTTCACAATCTTTGATATGGATGATTCAGATTATGCAATGTGGTGAGAAATCTAGAAACCAACATATATGTTGCAAAGAGACATTGAACTTGGCGGATTTTTGTATAAGCTACTAATTATATGTTGTGTTAATATGTTAATTTAAGTCTGAATTATGATACTGATGTTAGTATGTAGCCTTATATTTTTCTTCCGTATTAGTATTAAAAAAAATTGTTGTATCCACATAATTTATGAATAAGAAAGTTAAAATTTGAGATTCGCGTCACTTAATTAGAATAAGAAACGAATACCTGTGTATTTTTTTACAAGCTTAGAATAACATTCATATTATTACGAATAGTATGAAACAAAAAAAAACCCTATAAATTAAATGTTTATGGCTTATATAGCTTTAAAATCTTTCAATAAAATAATTAACAATATAATGTAAACTGAGAGCATGTACTCAGAGTGAAGCCTGCTTCTATATAAATAATGGCTTATTTTATTCATCCTATTACAAAAGATAAATAATACAAGTTGTATGACAGTATGGTGTTTATCAAAGCATTTAACAAAAAGTCTGGAAACATATTGTAGATCATTGTCTTTTGCTATCATTATTAATCAAAATGTATAATATTATATAAATTTTTAATACACTTGTGAGTTGTGACTAACAACTTTGCTCATTGTAACAGGATCAAGCACCACCCGAACATCTCTTTTTTTGTATAATACAGCAATTAATTTCATAATTATAAACATACTCATTAGAAATATATAACACACTAACAGACTATCAATAAATATGTGACAAATAGTTACAACAGCAGCTAACCAATTGTGCAACTATCAAAATATCAATTCTTTTATTAATAATGAATGTGTTACTTTTATTTTTAAATCTTTTGATATTGATAATTTCAGATACCTTATTAGAAGCAGTGGTAATACTCTACAAGACTCGGCTTATCAGAGCCAACTACTGAATATAATAATCATAGGTTGATTATAAAATGTTAAGGTGATAAAATTACTTTCTATAAATACCCACTTTGTATTAAGATTTAAAAATTAATAACAATGTAATTATTATTAGCGATTCGATTGTCTAATAATGGTGAAGGCTATGAAACTGTCTAGCTACAGGAAATGGTTATCAATTCGGTGATGTAAAATAATTAATGTTTAATTAAATGTGGAAATTAATTTTGCTTGTAAAATTATTACATTCCCGTCTGGACTAATTTGTAAATAATTATGGTAATTAAAACCCGGTCACAATAAACATTGTACTGAATGCTTATAATACTGTATTTTCATTAAGATGCCTTTAAATAAGAGAAGATGTGAATGTTAAAAGGAAACAGTTAAGTAGCTACTGGTGAATCTGTCCTCACAAGTTCTGTCTCTACGCTTTTGTTGCATATGATTTCAGATTAACAAGTAGTCACTATTCACCAAAGCATCGTGTAGGTGTAGTTATCAATTTTAAAAATATTGTATGTCTGTATGTTGTAGTCAAAGGCCTTACGCAAAGACTATAATATGGTACGCGTGGCTAAACTGCTTTCAACTGAGTTCAGACTTTTACTGCAGAGGGTAATAGGTAAATTTCAAGTTAAAACTATTGTAATTTAGCCCTGAAAAAGACGCGGCAATGAAAACGTGGAGTTCCTTATTTAGTTATCAAGCTTACGACATCTCACACACAGTCCTAAATTTACTAATTATTTTACAAAATCTTACATCTAAAATGTGTGACAATTAATGCAAGCATAAGTTTCTCAAAAAAAATCAAATAGAAATTAAAAAAAAATACAACTGAAACACACACGACAATACAAAAACAAAATAAAATTTTCTAAAAAAAGTTGGCACTAAGCAGAAAAAAAAGAAAATTCATCAGAAAAACAGCGAAATTAGGTTCGAGAAAGGCACCCCACAATGCTTTCTCTAAAACCGATCAGCCCACTACCGAATATATTCAGCTCCGGATAAGCTGTGTTCAATTTGTTAAAATCGCGAAGAATTCGAACGAGAGGTGCCTGAACTCCTAGGTTGGTTTTGAAGGAATTTGGAAGATATTGTTGATTTTAAACCTAGGGAATGAGTAAGGGACGACAATTTTGATATCCTGTAAGAGGTCACTGCTCTGTATAATATGGTTATTGAGCAATTTATGCAAGAAGGTAACACCGGCTAGAGTTCTCCGATTGTTAAGAGATAACATATTAAATTTTTTAAGTCGCTGATGGTACGGTTGTCTATGTGAGAATCCTCTGCTTATGAAAGCTAGGTGTCGCGTAAAAGATTTTTGTATGCTTTCAACGCGTTGCGAATGGATCGCATATAGTGGATTCCATATAATACTGCCAAATTCAACATGACTGCGCACCAGAGCGGACTGCGTCGTACAACCAAAACAATCCGCATTCCGTTAAAGAAATCCAAGCATTCGTGCGGATGTGGTGACTACTTTATTGACCTGCGATGTAAACGTTAATTTTTTGTCAATAATAACACCCAAGTCATGAATCTCCTGAACCTCCTTCAATGGCGCGCTGTCAAGCTTATACACAGTAACAACTAACAAGTGTTTTTTTTTCTTGTGTATTTAATATGAAAGCACTTATTTATATTGAGGATCATACCATTTAAAAAGCACCAATATCGTATACCAATAAGGTCACTTTGAACTAGAGCAGCATCACAGACAGTGTTAATAACTTTATAAATTTTTAAATCATCAGCGAAGAGAGACGCTTCACAGTGCTTTATATGATTCTTAACGTCGTTTACAAATAGTAAGAATAGCAACGGTAGGACCGTTGCTATGGGATCCTTGCGGAACACCAGATCGCGCAATATAGGGAGTAGACTCAGCGCCTCCAACAACTACTGACTGAGGCCTGTTACGAAGATAGGACCTAAACCAGTTTAGCAAATTCTCTCCCATTCCATAACCACGAAGCTTCTGAATCAGTAACGCGTGACTGACTTTGTCAAAGGCATTGCTAAAGTCAGTATATATGGCATCAATCTGGCGCCCACGATCTAATTCCTGACATGTTTCAGTAACAAAAGACATGAGGTTCGTTTGAATTGAACGGCCTTTTCTGAAACCATGTTGCTCATCAATGATACAGCCGTCTAAACATTTGGAGATTACGGGATACAGGACAGACTCAAAGAGCTTGGAAAAACAAGATAAAATACAAACAGGACGGTAATTTTTTACGTCGGTGATATCTCCCTTTTTATACACAGGTACAACACGAGACCTTTTCCATACTTCAGGAAAAACACCATCTTTAAGAGATCTATTATAAATAATAGTTAGGGGCAAAGATAACACAAATCTACATCGTTTTACAAAGATAGGAGGAATCGAGTCTAGCCCAGCTCCTTTGTTAGTATCAAGACCTTTTATTTTCTTAGATATTTCATCCTCTCTAAAGCTAAGGGACATTAGGCCGTCAACATTGCCAATGTCGTCTGGAGTGGAACTGCCAACAAGTGATTCTTCACAAGTATATACAGATGAAAATTGATATGAAAAAAGATTAGCAATATCAGGTGATGACTGGGCTGTAACATTGTCCATTTTCATGCAAGAGGGAAGCGATGAGTGACCACCTTTCTTATTTTTAATAAAACTCCAAAAACATTTAGGATTATTAGGAATACTTGCCTCAATATTTCGCTTATATTTAGTGTAGCAATCATCATAAAGTTTGTGACAACGTTTTCTAATAATGTGATACTCTATTTCGTCCTTAGAAACATATAAAGAAGAAGAAAGAATTAGAAGATGACGAATGTGTTGCCGGAATTTGGTTGCGTAACCTAATAGTAAATGTTCATAACTGAACAATTCAATGTTTTAATACAGCAAAGTTTTTTTTTTAATATTGGAACATAATGATAACTATTGATGAATTTTATAAACAATATATATAAATTATATTTTCATCTTAATAGTGTTTTAGTATCTGTATATCATCTGTAATCTAATATTATGTCAATGTTAACTAGGTATATTGTCAATTGTTAATGTAATTGTTGTTGTTGTTTTCTGTCTCACGAATGTAAAAATTCAAATCTGACAAATGACAACTGACAAGATAAAGAATTCAGAAAGTGATTTCATCGGTCGGCGCACCCAAATTGTAAAATTTGTATTACATTATTTATAAAATATCAAACGTATTTACATATTAATAAATCATGGGGGATCATTTACCAGCATGTGTTATCGATGTGGGAACCGGTTACACTAAGTTGGGGTTCGCTGGAAACAAGGAACCACAGTTTATCATTCCGTCAGCCATAGCGATAAAAGAAACTGCTAAAGTGGGTGACCAAAGCACTAGGCGTATGACTAAAGCCGTAGAAGATTTAGATTTCTTTATCGGAGACGAGGCATTTGAAGCCACAGGATATTCCGTTAAATATCCGGTCCGTCATGGTTTGGTTGAAGATTGGGATTTGATGGAAAGGTATATTGAACAATGCATATTTAAATATCTACGAGCTGAACCAGAGGATCACCACTTTTTGATAACAGAACCACCATTGAATACTCCTGAGAATAGGGAATATTTAGCTGAGATTATGTTTGAATCGTTTAATGTTCCTGGTTTATATATTGCTGTTCAGGCTGTCCTTGCACTTGCCGCTTCCTGGAAATCTCGCACATCTGCAGGGCGCACTTTTACAGGCATTGTAGTAGACAGTGGTGACGGTGTGACTCATATAGTTCCTGTAGCTGAAGGTTATGTCATTGGTTCATGTATAAAACACATACCTATTGCAGGAAGAAACATCACATCATTTATTCAGTCACTGTTACGTGAAAGAGAAGTTGGTATACCACCTGAACAAAGCTTGGAAACTGCTAAAGCTATTAAAGAAAGATACAGTTATATATGTCCTGATATAGCTAAGGAATTTGCAAAATATGATTCTGATCCAGCAAAATGGATGAAAAAATATACAGGAATAAATGCAATTACAAAAAATCCATTTGATGTTGATGTAGGGTATGAGCGTTTCTTG